TTTTTGTTTTCCATTATTATCATCCTCATTTTGGAGATTGATTTCTCTTCTATATTATTAAAACAAAAAATAGAAATAATCGAGATAAAGTTTGTCCTCGGTGAGCAGTGCTGTCATCAGTCTAACCTAGATTACCTGACTTAACAAGAAGGAAACAAGCTCATTTATTACATTAAAACTTTAGTGATATGCCAGTGCCTCTTCAAAATATGAGACTAGGCATTTAGTATGAATTATTACTAACTCTCTTAATACTTGTTAATTCTGATTTAAGAACAAAAAGAGGTGTAATAGTAATACTTTCTATTAATTACCTGTATACACTCTCCCAAAAAAGTAATATTTGAAATTCCTTCTTTAATCCCAATATTATGTTTGTACTTATTATATTTTTGAAATATAATTTTAGAACTCTTGATTGCAGTAAGATGAAATTTGGGGTTGTATTTGAATATCTAGTTATCTTTTTTCAGTTATTTACTTTTATTGTATTTTTCAAAAGTATTGATTCATGCCAAAATGGAAAGAACACTGAACAACATGGATCTGAATTATGTGAACCCATTTATATGCAGATTTTTTTGATACACTATAGTACAGTAAGTGTATTTCTCTTCCTTCTGATTTTCTTAAGAACATTTTCTTTTCTCTAGTTTATTTTCCCCCATTCCCACTTTTTACTTTTAATTTTTTGATGTAAGTTTTTAATTCCAGATTGGTAACATATAGTGTAATATTATTTTCAGGTGTACAGTATAGTAATTCAACAGTTCCATACATCACCCTGCACTCATCATGACAAGTGCAGTCCTTAATCCCCATCACCTGTTTAACCCATCCCCTAATGCCCTCCCCTCTGGTAACCATCAGTTTGTTCTCTATAGTTAAGAGTCCATTTCTTGTCTCTCTCTCCCTCTCTCTCTCTCTCTTAATTTTTCCCTTTGCTTGCTTATTGTGGTTCTTAAATTCTAGATCATTTTAGAAGAATACAGTATATAACAGGTATAATACATAAAATATATATCAATCAACTGTTTATGTTATCAGAAAGGCTTCCAGTCAACAGGAGGCTATTAGTAGATAAGTTTCTGGGGAGTCAGAAGTTATATATGAATTTTCAACTGTGCAGAGTGGTTGGCGCCCCTAACCCTGTGCTGTTCAAGGGTCACATGTGGAAACAAATGGATTAAATTTAAAAATAGTGATCTTTCACAATAGTTTCAGAAGCACTGTCTTAGAGGAGAGTAGGTATGTTCTAATTATAATCGAGGTATAAATTTCTATATGGGAGAGTTCAACCTTAGTGTTTAGAGTAAGATAATGTCCTCACAGCCGGCAGGACAAATAGTCACTGGCTTTGCACCTGGGCATCAGGTTTCAAGCAGGGTAAAATCTGGGCTTTCCTACTGGGGAAGGGATTCTAGAGGGAGAAAAGAGTGTGGGCAAAGGCATAGGTTCAAGGAAGCTTCTGAGCTTATGAAGAACATCAAGAAGTTCAATGTGCCTAAAATACAATGTAAAGCTAATTGGAAAGAGGCTGAGCTTAATTCTGAGAAGATTGCTACAAAGGGAAGACTGAAATTTATTCAGCTGGCAAAAGGGTTCCTCTGATGTTTTTCGAGAAGTGCATTAACAGTTTTCAGCTGGGCCTTATAAAGTTGGATTTAACAGGAAACTGATGGAGGAATTGGTTGGAGACCCATGTGACTAAAAAAAGGGGAAGGCACTATTTTTCTTAATTAGTTATACAAATCACATAAACATACCCTTTATTAAAGAAAATTTAGAAAAAAAAAGTAATGGCTAAAGAAAAAAAAGCGGGCCAAAATCCAGCCATCAGGACACATTCACTTGTATGCAATATAGATAATGTGATATCACATGCCATAAACACTGTTTTGAAGACCTCTTTGTTCACTTTTTCTATCATGAACATGCCAATAAATATGCTTATATATCTTTCTTTTAGTGACCACATAAGTTAACATTCCATGGATATACCTAGGGAGAGGACATTCCTGCAATACTAAAGATGAAAGGATTAATAGCAATGAAATCTACAATAATGAGATTATTAAAGTAGCTGGCACATGTGTTAGAGACTGGGAATAGCATTTCAGAGTTGAACAAAGAAATAGGGTAAGTTTTACACTTAAACACAATGGGTAAAGCAGGGTCCATCTCTTACCAGCTGTGTTTCTGGATACATTTTTTTCGCTGAAGTCTCAGTTTTCTGGGGTTAATAATTTTAACTTTACATGCTATTCATGAAATATTGGTAGAAAGCATCTAGCACAAAACCTAACACAGAAGGCCCTCAATTAATATTCTTTGATGATGGATTGATCATCAAATGTATGTGGGGAGATGAATAATGTTACCGAAGATGGATTTCCAGGTTTCAAGGTGACATAACTAGGAAGAAGATGTTATAAAAATGGAGATTTCAAGGATATGAGCAGATTTGGGGGAAGGCAGTTGTTAAGCTAACCATGAACATGAGCACCCATCCAAGGCTGCAATGACATTCACAGATATATTACTTGAGAAACAGCATAATGAACGACATTACTGCATTACATCCTAGACTTGCCAGGGCCATGTCAACTCCCTCCTTCTCCTTGACCAGCAATGCATTAAGTGTTTGTAGGTGACCTCCAAGAATTAAATGAAGCTTCCAAATGAGCTCAGCTTTGACTCCTTCAAGCCACTTACATACTAAGACGACCTAGTGAGACATCTCATAAAGAAAACGATGACATTTCACCCTTAAATATAATCTGTGATAATGAGGCCAAGGTTACACATTTTATCCATATAGTTCCCACTGTATTTTCTGGCTATGTGAGAAATATGTAAATAGGCCAAGTATCTAGCGATCACCAGAAAGAAGATCTGAGTTGGATAAGAGAAATGAATGAGCACAAATCTACTCCTCTACTTGAAAAGCAGCCCAGTGCACAAAATCTACTGACAGTGAGTCAATTTTCAGTGGTATTTGTAAAGACTGCATGTGTCTGAAAGATTGTGTTTAACCTTGTTTAAAAGATTCTTTTTATGTCAAATTATTTTATAAATATCTTAGATATTAGGTTTTACTTAGAGTGTAATAATAACACTGCAGCTTTGCCCGAGGATATTTTCTCAAGATCAGGTTTGTCAATGATTGGAAAAGAAATGATGAAAAAAGTGATGAAAATGATTAATTGTAAATATATTATTTTGGTATCCTATAAAGGGTTAAAGTGGAATGTGTGTCCCAGAAATTGAAATGTGGCTTAATTTAGCAAGCAGTTCACCATAAATATCTGTCCAGGCTTTTGGCACTTCAGTATCAAACTGTCAGTCATACACAGGAGTAAATGCCTCATTAAATAGTCCAAAGCTCGCCTGAGAAGGGAGATGAAATCCATGATTTTTTTCTTGCTTTCCAAAGTCAAAGACTACACAAATTTCTATAGTTTGGCCAAAATCATGGTAAATAAAACAGAATGCTCCTGAGCAGTTCAAATGTAATGACTCCCGATTTTTTCCCCACAATTTTTATGTCACCTCTTTTAACAGAAAATAGGAATGCTAGCAAGTACAAAGATGATTTTAAAAGTAATCAGGGGAAAAAGATTTGTGAGAGATCCATGCAATGTCGGTAATGATATACCTCTTTATTAGCCTTCCTTAGTCATAGTGCTCATCTGAACTAAACATAGGGTACATCTAAAGTAATTATGGTGCAAGGCAAGAGTATGGCAAGTCCTAAATTTATGGACAATTCAAAATAAAAATTTACAAAGAAATTAATAAAATGCTCTTTTGTTTTCTGTATCTATAATATCACCATGATACACACTCATCTTCCAGCCAATTTTAACTGAAACTTGAGTTTATCTAAAAATAACACTGGACTTCAATTAAATACATTCATTTATTTATTCAAATCTTGAGTGCCTGATGATCTTCAGGAACTGTATCAGTGCTAGGTAAACAACTATGATTTGGCCTCTGCCCTCAAAAACTAAGTTACATTCTTTTTATAGCTTCCACAAATTATCATTTAATTTGCAGGCATAAATGCACTTAATTAGGATATTAGAGAAGAAAGAATGGACTGTATGTGAGATGGTCTTTATTAGATAAAAAGGCAAAGCTCTTTTTATGTCATACAAATAATCTACTCTATGCCTTGCAAACAAGCAAAGTTATTATGTCTAAATAAAGTGAAGGGCAAAGATTAACAAGTGTCTAACAACAGTGATTAGTATAGTCAGGCAAATTGAAACAGTCAAGGAATGGAAACATGACTTCCTTTTTACCAAGGAAGTTTACATTTCTTATGATTAGATTATCTAGTAACTTCTCCTATTACCTTTCATTAAGACAAACCAAAGTCCATGGAGCATTCAGTGGTTTTTATTTTTTGGTTGTTTCTTTTTTAATCTAAATGCTTTTTAAAAGCTTTTGATAATAATAAAATCAGAAATAACCTAAGGGAAACTGAGGCAGCATTTTTTCTGGAAAAGGACAAAGTGCAGTATATTTCCATGCCATATCCAAGTATTTCAAGTTTGCAAAGATTCTTCCTAGTTTGTAGCACTTAAGCTTAAAAAGAAAAGCCACAGAGAAAAGAAAACTAATCTGATTGCCAAATTTGAAGCACTTACCTATACATGCTCCCCAAATCTAGACTTCTACACCAAGAAGAATTATCCAGAGAAGTGAAAAAGATTTAACACATGCTTAAAGCCACAGAACTAGTGACTGTGAAGAACAGCAGAGATAGAACAGTGAGTCTAATACTTGAAGAATAATTTGATGGATGACCTATCTTAGGAATTGAATTCCTTGCACAAAAGCCAAGGTATTAATTTCTGATTAAGTAGTATATTGGTATATGTAGTCATTGAAGCATAATGTCCATTAAAATACTAAATACCATTATTTACTTTAATTTTAATGACATGGAACTCAAAATAAATATAGCACATACAAATGCGTGCACATACCATTGATCCACCGAGCTTCTGGGTCATGAAGCACAAAGTCTCTCCTGAAGAGGTCTTCTAAAGACAATCTAGTTTCTGATGAATTTGTGAGTTCATCTAAAATAAAATAAATCTCAGATTAGACACTTACCTCAAGTTAGTTTTTAAAACTAATGAATTATAAAATTTGGAATATTTTGTTACAAAAGTATCTTAACTAGAGGGCAATATAAAGTAGTTATCTTCGTATGGTCTTTGGCATTTGAAGCTTTTTGTTTCATGAAACTTTTTATTAAGTTATTTTAAGTATTATAATTGTCTTCATCTAGCACAAATTTAATAGATCAATCCTTGTTATGTAGTGATATATAATATAAAAATAGTTAAGAGTTCCTGTTCTGCATTGAGCCCACACATTTTTCAGGGTTTAACCATAATCTAGCCCATTACTTTCCAAAATGACTTTGACATATTCTCCTAAGGCTAAATTTGTATTCTTGTTGTAAACACCAAAGATGAGAGAGTTGAGGGTCCTGATATAAATGATAAAGAAAAGTTCCCAACTCAGAAGGAAGTTCACTAAATACACAGAATGAATACCAAGTTCCACCAAATAATTACCACCAAATACTATAGATTTAGAAGTTAAATATAAAAATTCAAACAATTCCAGTATATTAATGAAAAGCACACATTTATATAAGCTCCTGACATAAAAACTAGTTACACTTCTCTTTTTAGTTCAAGAGTCTAAGAAATGGAAGGATAATATGGTTGAAGTACAAAAATCAGGCATAACAAACATGTTTTTGATACAAGAGGCTATAGAAAGTTAGCAGTATTTCATTTTCTTTTCAGTAGCATTTTTTATTTACTGAATAAAATCATCTGTTACCTTTCAGCTGTGACCTTCACTCTCGCTGAAAATAAAATGTCAAAGATATATACTAACCTCATTAGATATTGTTTTTTAAAGGTTCAGCACTTATTGCAGTGAGAGCTTTGTTTCTTCTAGCTGAAAAGCTGGGGTAAAGAATCAATAACTTCAAATGCAATTTCCTTTCACATGAATCAACCCATATTGAACCAACAAAATAACTGCTAAGAAACAACTGAATAAAATATTACTAATGGTGATAGAATTGTACGATCCCAAGGCTAGCATAGGACATTGTGATCATATATGGATTTTCAGAACAAAATGGCCCATTTGATAGTCTGACACATCAAAATTGGAACTTCCTTTATTCATTCAACAAATACTGGACCTTTGATTCCCCAAAATTTTAAATGAAGTATTGTAAGTTATTGGAGACATATCTAGGATCTGTCTTGAGGGATTCACACTTGCAAAGCAAGAAAAATTATGCTAAATGCCAGAATGAGGATACAGAGTGTTGTAGAAGTACAAAGAAAGGAAGGGAATATCTTGCAAAAGCCATCAGAGAAAGCCTCAGTTATAAATAAAACGATCAACTCTCATCCATTGCTGGAGGGAATGCAAAGTGCTAAAGCCACTTTGGAAGACAGTTAAGTGGTTTCTCACAAAACTAAATATACACTCCAGCATTTGTGCTTTGTGGTATTTACCCAAATGAGTTGAAAACCTATGTCCACACAAAACTCTGGGTATGAACTTTTATAGCAGCTTTATTCATAATTGCCAAAACTTGGAAGGAACCAAGATGTCCCTCAGGAGGTGAATCAATAAACAAACTGTGATATATCCAGATGACAGAATATTATGTAGTGATAAAAAATGAGCCATCAACTATGAAAACATATGGAGGAAACCCAAATACCTATAACTAGGTAAAAGAAGACAATTTGAAAAGACTATACACTATATGATTCCAACTATGTAATATTCTGAAAAAGGCAAACTATGGAGAAACTAAAAATATCAGTGTTTTGCCAGGGGTTGTGGGGCAGGGTGGGGAAGGAAAAACAGGTGGAGCACAGAGGATTTTTAGAGCAGTAAAACTATGCTGTATGATCTATAACGGTGGATACAAGTCATTATACATTTGTCTAAACCAGGGCACCTGGGTGGCTCAGTCCAGTAAGCCTCCGACTCTTGATTTCGGCTCAGGTCATAATCTCAGGATTGTGAGATTGAGCCCTGCACTGGGCTTCAAGCGTAGCACAGAGTTTGCCTGAGCTTCTCCCTCTTTCTCTCCCTCTGCTCCTCCCCAGCTCTCTCTCTCAAATAAATAAAATCTTAAAAATCTTAAAAAAAGAAAAAATAAACCTATATGTGTGTGTATTTTTCTTACAAAGATTTCTTTTTGTACCTAGTAAATTCTACATATTTTGTCTACTTTATCTTTAATGATACAGATGTTTACACATACTTCATTACTACATCTTTTACAATGCAGATACAGATACAGATGTTACTATAAGAAATACCTTACAAGGCAAGTGCACTATACCAAATAATCTTATTTTCAAATAATATTTAAAATTATATTATCAATAATTCTCAAGCATATTTTCCTTTATATGATCTTTAAAATATTTCAGCATACCAAATAGATCTTATTAAAACTGCAATAAATATGCACAGTAAATTGGAAAACTTTAACCATTTTATAATATTAAAACTTTTCACTCAGAACTACTTATACCACTCATATTTTATGTACATTTATAATATGGCATCTTCTATTTTTCCTACAGATCCTTTACTTTTCCTATTAGATTTAGTCCTAATTATATATAGTTTATTATTACCATGAACAGAACAGCTCTCGTTCTTATTTCAATATTATATATTATAGATATATATGATTTTAAGGTATTTGAAGATTCACATGCAGTTATAAGAAATAATAAAGAAAATCCTTTATATACTTCATCTAGTTTCTCTCAAATACATGCAATATCTTGCATAATACATATCACAAAAAGAAACTGATATTTATACACTCAAAGTCATTCAGATTTCAATTTTACATGTATTCATTTGTGTATGTGTGTGTGGGTATGTTTGGTTCTATGCAATTTTATATATATGATGAGCACCTGTCAAGATACAGAATAGCTCTATCACCAGCATAGAACTGCACTTTTATTACCATAGCCTCCTCTGCAGCCATTGGCAAACACTAATCTATTTTCAATCTCTGTAATTTTGTTATTTCAAGAATACTGTGTAAAAAGGATAATACAGCATGAAACCTTTGGAAATGGGTTTTCACTCAGCACATTCCCTCAAGATCCATCTAAGTTGTTGAGTCTATCAATACTCTGTTCCTTTTGATTGCTGAGTAATATTCCAGGGCATGAATATACAATGGTTTGTTGAACCTTTTATTCGTTAAAGTACATCTAGGTTGTCCTTTGTAGTTTTCAGTTATTATGACTAAAGATTCTACAAGCATTTTTTTTAACAGGCTTTGTATGAACATAAATTGTCCTCTCTTTGGGATAAATGCCAAAGTGTGCAACTGCTGAGTCACATGGTAAGCATATGTTTAGCTTTGCAAGAAATGTCATAGGTTTTTTTGGAGTAGCTGTATCATTTTGCATTTTCAACAGCAATATATGTATAAATGATCTAGTTTCTCTGCATTCTTGCCCCAATTTTTGTTTGTGTTTTTTTTTTAATTTAGCTATTCTGATATCAATGTAATGATATCCCATTGTGGTTATAATCTGCATTTCCCTAACAGCTAATAAACATCTTTTAATTATTTGTAAACAGTATGTTTCCTTCAGTGAAATGTCTGTTCATGCCATTTGTCCATTTCTAATTGGATTGCTTTTGTTTGCGTGTTTGTTGGTTTAACTTTTGAGTTGGAAAGTTCTTTATTCTAGATACAAATAATTTGTCAGATATTTCAATTTCAAATATTTCTTCCAAGTCTCTATCTTGTCTTTTCGTCCTCTTAAAAGGGACTTTTCTAGAGAACAAGTTTTCAAAATCATGGTGGTCCATTTTATCAATTTTTCCTTTAATAAATCATGCTTTTGCTGTCAAGATCAAGAATGCTTCACCTATTTCAGGGCCCTGAAGATTTTTTCCTATTTTGTTTTTTCTAACAGGGTCATAATTGTATATTTTACATATAAGTCTCTGGTACATTTTGAGTTATTTATTGTATATGATTTGATGATTGTTTGAGATTCATATTTCATTTAAATTTTCTTCTACTGGATGCCCAATTGCTCCAGCACCATTTGTTAAAAAGCATTTATTTCATTTTAGTGAATTATTCCATTATGTTGAATGTCAAAAACAACGTTGAATAATAATGGTGGTAATGACACACTTGTCCTTTTTATCTACAATGGCAGCATCTTCAATATTTCATTATAGAATAAGATATTTTTTCCGAGAATTTTGGTAAGGAAACCTATCATTTGTAGGTAATATTTTTTATCCCTATGTCCGTTTTTATTTGAAATTATTACTATGTCATCATGCAGTTCCAACCTCTATCATATAAACATATTTTTTCCTCCTTTAATGTATTGATACAAAAATTATGTAAATGAAATTTCCTATTTCCAGCCAACTTCTACCCTTATAACAAAGCCCAAATGGTCAGGTGAATTGTTATCATTGTATACTGTGAAATTAATATGCAAAATCATTGTTTAAATGTTTAGATCCATGTTGATGAATGAAATGACACGATCCATTGTTTTTTTCATTTTGTATCATACTCATCAGTTAACATTTTAGTATTTATATTATCTTTGAACTTTTCCTGTGATCTGCAGTAATTTAATATCTTTAAAAAGAAGAATTTTTCTTTTAACTCCAATTGTACCTGGAATTGATTTTAAAATCTTTTTTTTTTAAGATTTTTTTAAATTTATTTATCAGAGAGAGAGAGTACAAGCAGGGCGAGCGGTGGGCAGAGCAGGCAGAGAGAGAAGCAGACTCCCCGCTGAGCAAGGAGCCTAATGCTGGACTCAATCGCACGACCCCTGGAATCATGACCCGAGCCTAAGGCAACCACTTAACCGAGTGAGTCACTCGGGCGTCCCTGATTTTTAAAATCAACCAATCAAAATAATTCAAATTATTGTAATTAATCTTCCTTTTAAACAATAATCAGAGAGAGAGATATATGTGATTTAATGATTAATTTCTTCGGTTTCAA